TTTTTTTGTGGTGACTATTTGTGACCAAATATGTGTTTATTGTGACTAGTTGTGACCAATTCTGTATTAATTGTGTCTGGTTGTGATTTGATCACATACCGTCACAATTAAGATTGACTTGGTCACAGATAGTCACACTGAATACAAATTTGGTCAAAATAGTCACGGATGACACGTCAATGACTTGATATTTTTTATTTTTTATTTTTTTTGCAAGGTAGGAATGTGGTAGGTGGATCCATGGATTGTGGGTGTGATTTCCAGTTTTTAATTTCTAAAAATTTTTTAGAATGTGAGGTGAGGTGGGGTGAGGTGGAGTGATTTTCAGATTTAAGTTTTTGAAAATTTTTGGTGGGGTAGGTGGGGTCGAGGGTGGCCGTGTGGGGGTGGGGTAGGGATAATTAATTATATATATTTAATTGGAATTAACACCCGAATTTTGAAATAATTTAACAAGTTTGTTCATTTTAAAATGTGATTTTAATATGTAGGATTTATATATTGTTCCCAAAAAATAATCGGCAAAATCGACGAATCCATTCATTGTTTGACCGGCTAGCTGGCTAGCTATTTTTCAGTTTTTGATATACAAAGGTTTTAGCACTAATCTGATTGGTTTTCCGTTCGGTTCTCAATTTTTTCCAGTTGAAAGGGAGGGTTCAACCATTTTGACAACACAAATTAAAACAAGGAAGTAATTAACTTAAAATTTGAAAATTTTGATTGAAAAGATTAAAACAAACCGTTTTCGATTGGTCCAGTAAGTCGATATGAGCATTAAAAATGTAAATTTTACTGTTCAAATCGATCCAATTATTTTGACACCTCTAAATTAATTTTAACTTTATATCGCCTCACATGGACCTCATTGAACTTTATAATATTATTGAAAAATGAGTAGTGGAAGTAATTTTTGAAAATTGAGTGAAGCATTTTAAAGTTTGGAATACTTTTTGATTTTCGAAATATCTCATTAATGCAAAAAGGCCAAATTAAAGACTAAACGACAACGTTTAATAGTAAGAAATAACATTTCTCACTTTTACTAGAACTAGAATAGAACTAGAAGGTTCATGCTGCTCATCAACTTCCCCACAGCTTAAAGCAAAAATTGCAGAAAAAATGAAGCATAAAATTAGCTATGGAAGCGTGAGATTTTCAATAATCTTCATACTGGGATCGGCTTTTTTTATCTGCAGCTCAATCGAATTCGTATCAGCCTCAATTCACGAGTACAACAATGAACGCTTCACTCCTCAGTCCAACTCCTTCTTCTTCCACGGTGGAAGTGAGGGCCTCTACGCTTCTTCTCAAAAAATCGATAAGGGGAAGTCCTTTATTAGGTATTTTTTTCTTGTTCTATTTGGTACTCGAAGCAAAAAAAAAAAAAAAAAAANNNAAAAAAAAAAAAAAAAAAAGAAAGAAAAACCTTCGACGTTCATTTATAATTCTTAGGGTTTTTGTGATACTTCAGGACTTTGGATAATAGTAGTGCATATCAGTTGATTGGATGAAAGCAATTATTTGGTTGGTGTGGTTTATTTTCATTGGGGTGGGAAAGACCGAAGGGGTTATGCATGTTTTGATTTTTTGGAAGAAATTTTGTATTTATATTATTTAGCAGACCTGGGTTTGTCGTATTTGTTGATGGCCAAACGTGTGTAACCATAATAAAATGTGGCATTGTGGCAGTGAGAGTTGAACAGGATGAAATCATATTGTGTAACCTATCTAAAAGCTTCAAACTATTTGATATTTTAGGCAAATTATGTAATTGGTACCTTAATTGGTCTCAAAATTAATTAGTTTCCATGTTTCTGACTTTGCTGCCTAAGAGAGCTTAAATAATGTTTTATTTCCATGAGCGACGAGACCTAGTTTTCCATAATCGGAGGAAATATGTATTGTAGTGAAATAAGAATAGTAATGGGAAAAGAAAGTACCTTCTCACAAGGCGATGAATAAAATTTTAGAAAATTTGATGTTTGGTATATTGACCTCAAATTCTTGAGGAAGCAGTTTGAACTTTTTGGCGAATGCCTATTCCCAAACAAGCAAATCAAGAACTGATTGGCATGAATCAAAACTTGTCTAAATATTTTTTTCTTTTTTCTTAATTGAACCAATAAAATCTTACTCTTTGTTTAATTTAGTGGAAAAAAGAAATAGAGCAGGCAATAGTCATTCGTGGAAAAAGTTGTTTTCCTTCGTTCTTTTCTCTGGTTTTCTTTATGATTTTGATAGTAAATATGAACGAAACTAAGCTAGTTGGATTAATTTTACTCCAAGTTTCACAAAATAAATATCTGGCACATGCATTAATAACATTCTTAAGTGAAAACTACGCGTTGAGGGTACTTTGTTTGGAGAATTTAATGATTAGTCTATTAATTTTTTTTTTTCAGAACTTTCATGTCAGCTTTTTCATGGCTCTACGCATGAAATTCTGCATCGTTGTCGATGTTCATAAAATACTAGCAACAATTTGGATAATGTTTTTAGTAGTTTGGCAAGGACTTTAGAATTTAAAGTTTCGACATAGTCAAACGAAGACTGAATGCACCTTTTTGTCATAGTAAGAATAATAATGCTAGTGCAGTCACAATAGAGCATAGTAAGTCCTTTTGGCAAAGACTTCAGAATTTAAAGGTCCTACATAGTCAAACGAAGACTGAATACACCTTTTAGGCATAGTAAGAATAATGATGATAGTGGAGTCACAATAGAGCATTGTGCTGTCTTAAAAAGTATTATTTTAAGAATTTATGTTTGATCATAAATAAGTAAGGAGAAAAGAAAGACGATGTATGTGGCAAAATTAGAGCGGTAGGGCAGTACTATAAAGCTTCGTCATGGTCAGAAGATAAAAGACAAGTTCTATGCAACCACTATACTTTGTGGTATTAAGCATCTTGACATTAAAGGAGAGAATTACCACCACTAATATTAGGGTGCAAATATAGGTAGTTGTATGGTCTACCAGAAGAGATAAAAGGAAAGAAGGCTTAAATGTTTGGGGTATGTCTTGATTAGACTTGAAGAAGCTCTCATTAGGGATGCGATTTCTATAGTACTTCAAAGAGGGAGAGTTTGACAAAAAATTAACATGACCAGAGTAGCAAACAATTTCATTTCATTTACTTTTCAATAGATATATCGCCAGATCAAATGCAGTGACAAAGAATTCATGTAACCGGCTTAATTTATTTGGGAATAAGCATTTTCTTGTTATCTTTGTATTGATTTAGGCTCATTGTACTGAACCAAAGCTCCAGTTGGGAAGTGGAATTTGGGTTTTGAAAATGGTTCAATTTGAATGTGACTGCTTCGGTTTTTATTTCCAATCAGGCCCAGTTTCTGATAATGGTTCACTACTAGTGGACCCTGACCTCCTCATCCCAGGGGATCTTTTTTGAATATTTATAAATCTGTAAAAACTGGATGAAAATTATGAAAGTTGAAAGGAAGTTGACAATAACATCATCTTCTGTGAATCTGTATGGCAGGTTCGAAAATGTTGCCTTTCTGAGGACAAAAGAGTCAGCTGATAATCATAATGAAATGCAAAGTAGGACCGGATTAATTGAAGCTATTGTTCTCGAGGTGAAAGATAGAGAAAGGATTGGAGATGCATATACAAAATCTAATGCAATATGTTGCACACCGAAGCTTGCTCAGGATAAGCTCTGTTCGGTGGGAGAGGTCATTCTTCAGTCAAATCCTGACAACTCGGAGTGGCCTAGGCGCATCCAGACTTTTTTTGAAGGAAAAAATCTGGAAACTAAAATGGTCACCCAGTCTGTTGAAATAAATATTACAGGAATGTACTATCTTTACTTTATGTTTTGTGATCCACAACTTAATGCCACAAGAATCAAAGGACAAACTGTGTGGAGAAACCCGGGAGGCTATTTACCCGGGAAGATGGTTCCTTTGATGACTTTCTATGGAATTGCATCTTTAGCTTATCTTTTGCTTGGTGTATTGTGGTTCTCAAGATTTGTCAAGTTCTGGAAGGATATCATACAGTTGCATTATTATATAACAGCTGTAATTGCTCTTGGCATGTCTGAAATGGCTCTCTGGTATTTTGAATATGCAAATTTTAATGCAACTGGAAGTAGACCAATGGCAATTACACTGTGGGCTGTGAGTGTTACTTCTGTAAAGAAGACATTTTCTCGCTTGCTGCTTCTGGTTGTTTCGATGGGATATGGCGTTGTGAGACCTACCATTGGTAATTTAACACCAAAATTACTTCTGGGCACTGTATACTTCATTGCTACAGAGGCTCTTGAACTTGTTGAACATTTGGGCAACATAAATGACTTTTCTGGGAAAGCAAAGTTATATTTGGTGCTGCCTGTTGCTTTCTTGGATACCTGGTTTATTTTGTGGATATTCTCCTCTTTATCCCATACACTAGAAAAACTTCAGGTAGTTTTTTCATTTTTGAAATTATATTTCTGTTGATTGTTAATCAGATGACTCTTTCAATCTCAAAAATATTGTATTTGTTATTAAGATTCTGATTTGGTAAGATGTCATGATAACTATTACTTCCAAGGCCAACATGTCTAAAACTTGTGATTCAATGGTAGGAAGTCCACCTGATATTCTCATAGTAAACTCTTAGCATGCGTTCTTTGAAATTGATTCCTCCTAAATTGCATTAATTTATCGAAAGAAAGAACTTAATTTATCAGTCCATAAATCTTATATTAGTGCCTTCTAAATCCATCTGATTCGTTGGTTGCATTCCCTTAGTGTGCACTAGCTTCTCTGGGTCTCTTGTGCAGAGGCTTAGCTATATGTCCAGATATGTACCCTATTTGTATATTGGATATGTACTGCAGTTTCAAATGTTTGTCTGTGTTATAACACGAGTGTTTGCTGTATCTTTATTTCTGATCACATGATAAGCAAACGTAAAATGGATTTCCCCTTTATCCTTAATGCTTGTATTTTTTGAATTGAATTTGAATAGTCAGTAGAGCTCCAAACCTTTGTGAATATTTAACATGAAAACAAGTAAGGGACATATTTTACCCAAAGCATGCTCATGAAATGTTCACGTCTAACACTCTTTCAGGTAGAATTAGTAGCTCGAACATAATTCATTGAAGTCAATACATCATACAGTCCTCTAGTTGTCTAATAGTGTGTTTAAGTTTCTCAATGTTCATGCGTTCTTCTGGGTTCACAGGTATGTAGATGTATGCGTGTGTGAATTACATTTATAGTGTAACAATTGGAAAAATTCTCACATATGTGCCTTCTTATAGTTGTGTGAATCTTTGCTATACTTTTCCAAGGATAATTGATGAAATGTTAGTTTCTCCAAAAAAATGAAAAAAATAGAAAACGGAAGGAGGATGAAATATATCGATGGATCTTCTTATTCAAATTTATCCTATCTGGATAATTGTTGCTAGTTTGTGCTAAGGGATAAAATTCTACATTGAATAAAGATGAAAATATAGACCAATTTATAAAAAATTGGACTACTACTCTTAATAAAATTGATCTTTTAAGATGAAACTCAAAATCTTAACATGGTATCAGAGCCCGTAAAACTCCAATGAGCAATTCGATCCAATTAAGACTCAAAATAATAATAATTGAGCACGCAGATTTCAAGATTGGTCTGCTCAAACGAGCCACCATCTTGCGGGGGCATGTTAAGGTATAAAATTTCACATCGAATAAAGATGAAAATATAGATCAATTTATAAGAGTTTGGGTTACTCCTCTTAATAAGGTTGACCTTTTAAGATGGAATCTCAAATCTTAACAGTTAGAACTGAGTTAGTTGATCACCAAGTGCTGTGCATACATGTACAAAAATAAAATAGGGACACATTTCAATAAAAGCTTTCTATAAACTGGATATATAATGTTTTTTTCCTAATCTTTAAAAAAGATAGTCCATGCATTTTTGTTCATTTTACTTATTTGATTGCTAATCTATCTGCAATATATGATTTCATTCTCAACTAATTGCAGATGCGGAAAAGCATGGTGAAACTGGATCTTTATCGAAAATTTACAAATTCCCTTGCAGTTTTTGTGCTACTCTCTATTGCTTGGGTTGGTTTTGAGGTACTACATCTCATCTTTCCAACTAGTTTCTATAGTATTTTCTTACAAATCCGTGATCTCAATGAATGAAAACCAATGGGGGACTACTTGATGCAATGGACCCTTTATTATTTTATACTGGAATTGTAGTAAATAGACCTAGGGAGGAGCAGGCCATGAGTACCTTAATTTACTTTTATTTCATTCTCTGTCACATTTTTACTGCCGAGTTAGTGTTTTTATTTTTTATTTTATAGAACTCCTTAAAAGTTGTGATTTAATCTTGTGTTTCTGTTGGAGCAGCTTTACTTCAAAGCAAGTGACCCTCTAAGTGAGCTGTGGCAAATTGCCTGGATAATTGCATCTTTTTGGACTCTGCTTGCCTTTTCTCTGTTGGTAGTGATATGTGTCCTTTGGGCTCCTTCACGCAACCCAACAAGGTAGTTGGTTTGATCTAGCTGCTTCATTTCCCTTCTGAACGGTTAGCTTAGAATATGGAATGTCAGATTTACCCTTGCCTGTAATATTTAGGCTTCAGCACTACTTGCCTAATATTCTTATATATGAAAGTTGAAACCAAATTTTTAACCTAATACTACGTTCTTTAGAAATTATTCCCAAATCATTATGAAACCTGATAAAATTTTGATTCTGAAGTTAGTTTTCTTTGTGAATCATGAATGCATGCAGTTCTTGATTCCCTTCCAGATGTTGTGCGGATGTGGAACATCTTTTTAATTCTATTCATTATTCTGCTTCTTTTTTTGATAAATTTCATTGATCCTCTTAAAGTTTGAGCTTGATGTATGGCTCGTAGATATGCATATTGTGGGGAGACTGTCGATGACATCGATGAAGAGGCCATTTCACTTACAACCGGAGTAAAAGTTGTTCCAGACATTGGTGCCAAGCTTGAAAGGAAAGAAAAAAGGGGTTCTTCATCAACTGATGCTCTAACTGGACTAAGAGAAGATCTCGAGGAGGATAAACGAGAATAAATCACACATTTTGGGCAGTGGAAAGTGAATAGACACATTAAGAGTTCCTTGTTAGCAATTTCATGTTCGTGGGACATGCTGTGTCTGATGTAAAGTTGATCGATCCAAAGCGAATGTACAATTGCTCAGACAAAATTTAACGTGGTGTTCAAAACGAAGTGAATATACTGCCTTACGTCTTAGCCAAAGTTGTGTAAAAAAATTATGAAAATAAAGTAAGCTTATGTAAGTAAAACTTAATTCAGTGGCTCCTATGTTGTCCGTTCCTTGTTTTGTTGTTATGATTGAAGTAAAAAGTAAAGTGTCATTCTAGTTGTGGGATCATTACATTGTCGTTTAAAAGGTTTCGAGTGCTAAAATTGTCTATGGCAAACCTTCAGTTCGTCTTTTACTTTTAATAGGTGATGAACTTGTCTGTCTACACAAACCAGCTGCTTTGTCTAAAGTCCTGTAAACCACCAATGAATTGGCGAACATGGTGTAAATGGTGCATTCACAACAAATATAGCATGGACGCCTACTCGTCGTAAGACATGTATGTCAAAATTTTTGCGCGAGTTTACCGCACCTCATCTTAGGCATAATCTTGTCCAATCATGCATACTAAATATGAGCATAGTAGTCATCTGTGTCAAACATGTACAAAGATAATAATCTTATTCAATCCAATGTGATGATGTATGATTTTATTGTTGGATAATTGTTTCAAAAGTTCCACGAAATGATTATATCATATCATTTTGCATACAAATTTGACAGTAACAGATTTAATTATATATAACATTAGATTTCCTCATATCATTTTACATACAAATTTGACTGTAACAGATTTAATTAATATAACAGATTCATAAACGATTTATATATTTCAGCAAATAATTAAACGGGAACTGCAAAATACTAATATGCAAAACGAATAACAAGAAGGAAAAAAAAAAAAAAAAACTTTTAACTCGAGGTCTGTATTACACACAAATTCCTTAAAACAGATTCGTCCCCTCACCGTACGTACTTGAGGTGTAATTTGAGCGTCTGCTTCCCAGGATACAACGATGGAACAGCAGAATCTGAGCACCACGGATTTTACTTCAGCGAACTGAGTTAGAGCCCGAACAATATCACCACCAGACTCAAACAGAAACAAAACTTGAACTGTAT